TTACCTTAAATGCTCCAAAGCACTTAGGAATTGGACACTGTCTAAAACCCATACTTCATGTAAAAAAAAAAAAAAAAATCTTAAACAAGACGCATTTGTAAAGCGCAAAATATGTAAATACCTGATTGTACTGCAAATTTCCAAATTTGTTTTATTAATGCATGCCAGAATGGAAACACCATTATTATTACCCCCCATTATTTAGGGTTTTTTAAGCACATCCTGTTTTAACATTTATTTAAATTTTATCTACAATATTCCATTATGTGGTAAATTAAAAAATCTATATAAAGAAATATCATAAATCTAAAAGGTCTCTGCAGGATATTATTCCGTGCCAAAAGCTTACTCCATTGTAAAATATATGCTCTATAGGAGTACTGCTACTATACCAGATTTTTCTCTAGCTATTCTTACATTATCAACACCATGAGTGACAGTGGATTTATCTCAATAGACCGTGAAAGTGACTAAAGGCAAATGTTTTAATGTACCGTTTCGGGTAGATAAACAAAATAGAAGATGCACTGCATTTAGTAATTCGTTTAATCATTTCAATGCACTTGTATACTTATTTTAGGTGTATGTAAAGATTTTTTTTTTTTTTTTTTTGCATTCTGGATAGAGAAAGGGCAAAAACCTTTGTCAATTTAGTTTTGTTATTGGTATCCTGCTGGCGAAGCTTCCCATAAGACATACCTTGCATAGAACTCTTCTTCCTGGTAAATCTGGTAATATTTATGCGTACATTTTTATAATTGCCCAATTTTTTAGTTCAGCTATGGGGATATTGAGTTGCCAAAAAATTTCTAATTACACCAAATTGATAGGTATATTTTTGAGAGGACAAATTTTTGTTTTGTAAAAAGCACCATAGATACCATTTTTAAAGAGATTATAAAGGTTAATTCTTTTTTTTGTGGGGTTGGGAGCAGAGAATAACAAACATGTCTATACTTACCTACTGTGTGCAGTGGTTTTTCACAGCGCAGCCTGGATTCTCCACTTTTTGGGTCCCCTGCAGGCTCTCCTGGCCCCTCCCTTCTGTCGGGTGCCCCTACAGCAAGCAGCCAATGGCTCCTGCTTGCTGTCTCAGCCAATGAGGAGGCAGAGACCCGGGACAGCCCAGGCTGTCATTCACATTGCTGGATTGCGATGAGGCTCAGGTAAGTATTGAGGGGGCAGGGGGCATTGCTGCACACAGAGTGTTTCTTACCTTCGTGGATAGAATGCATGAACATATAAACCTTCAGACTTTACAACCACTTTAATGTCCCATAAGTCTCTGCACAATTAGAGCATTCACGTTCTGCTGCAATACACTGTGAAGATGATTTACTAAAGGCAGATAGACCATTCACTTAGAAAAGGGAATTTTCACTGCAACAGAATTTTCCCTTAGCTGAGCGAATGACGTCCATCATCCAGTCATGTGCAAGCCAAAATAATTTTTTACATTTTTCCTTACATGTGATTGGGTATTTCTTGCAAAGTGGATTTTTATCATGTTCACTAAGCTAAATGAAAATTATCTTGCAAAGTGAATATTCACTTTCCCAAGTGAACATCCTTTAGTAAATGAACCTCTGTAAACTGTATAAGACAATGAGGACTTAAAGGAGGAGAGGAACACAGGTACTATTTCAGGATATTTGGCAATATTCTCCTCACACTTCCTACAAAACTTGCTCTTTCTACTCTGAACCTTCATCAGTGTTCCTCTAAATTTGCTGCTTTTTAGTTTTTTTCTTCTCCTGCCATTTCAGCTGTCCTACTGTCTGTTTCTTAGCTGTTGTTCTATTTCCTCTTCAGCTGTTCTTCTGCTCCTTTTTCAGTTGTCCATGTCCTTCCTCCTTCCCAATGCTATGGTCATTTTTTAGTTGTCATTCTCCTTACCCATCCTTTCCTTCTGTTCTTAGCTGTCCTCGCCTTCCTCCTTTTCCCTTGCCCTACTCCACTTCCCTTCTCAGTTGTCTTCCTGCCTACATTTCACCTGTCCCTCTTCTGCCTCAATTGTCCTGCACCTGCCTCCTCCTCAACCTTCTTACTCCTCCCTCTTCTTAGCTGTTGTTCTCATTCTCACCTGTCTTAATCTTCTTTTATTTTCTCCTGCCTACGTCTCACCAGCCCTTTCCTCCATCCTTCTCACCTGTCCTTATACTCCCTCCTCTCCTGCCCTCCTTCCCATTTATCCTTCTTTTGCCTCCTCCTCAGCTGTCCTTCTCTTCCAACCTTCTCAGTTGTACTTCTCTTCCAGCCTTCTCACTCATCCTTCCCCTCCCCTCCTTCTTAGTTGTTCTTCTCCCACCTCCTTCCCACATGTCCTGATCCTTTTTTCTCAGATGTCCTCCTCCTCCTCAGTTTCACCCGTTTTTTTTTTTCTTTCCTACTTCTCAGCTGTCCTTTTCCTTCTTGCCATCTTTCCTCGTTTTCACCTTTCCTTCTCATCCCTCCTCCTCACTTGTCCTTCTCATTGTTCATTCAAAACTCAAAGTTAACTGGAGACGGGAAAGGAAACAGAAAGCTGCTCACACATATCCACAGTCTGGTTAAACAGTGTTACAGGATGTGTAAATTACAAGAGTGGCTGAACAGAGTATTTTTTATGGCTTTAGCAGGTAACATCAATGGTTACATGTTACAAAGCAGTTAGTGGTGTGAAAAAGTTCTTCCGTATAACCAAAAACATAAATAGTTCTAGTAACCACTTGCCCCCTTTCTGACCAGGTAATTTTTTGTTTTACGGCGCTGTGTTAATTTAACTGACAATTGCGCAGTCATCCAACGCTGCACCCAAATTAAATTTGTCCTTTTTTTTTCTCACAAATGCAGCTTTCTTTTGGTGTTATTTGAACGCCTCTGCGGTTTTTTTTATTTTTTGTGCTATAAACAAAAAAAGACCGATAATTTTGAAAATAAAAAAACAATATTTTTGACTTTTTTTCTATAAAACATATCCAGTAAAAAAATTAAAAAAAACAAATTTTGTCATAAATTTAGGCCAAAATGTATTCTGCTACATGTCTTTGCTAAAAAAAAAATCCCAATACGTGTAAATTAATTGGTTTACATGAAAGTTATAACGTCTACAAATGGCTGAGTATATATTGGAGTTTTTCTTTTTCTTTTTTAATGCTAGTAATGATGGCAATCAGTGACTTATTGCGGGACTGCGGCGGGCATTCTGACACTGAGGGGAATTGACTAGCTGCCACTAACATTCCCAGAGACACTAATACAGTGATCAGTGACACTGGGCAGGAAGTGGTTAATATCTGGGGCGATCAAAGGGTTAACTGTGTGCTGTTTTTACTATGTGGCCTGTGTGTGTTTTACTATGTAAGCATGCAGCTTTGTATTGCTCTGCTATGCAGAGCAATACAAAGCAGCATGCTAGTGCTGACCGGAGAGAGGTGTATATTGTTTACATACAGACCTCTCCCCTGTCAGTGTTCCTTGGCAATCGCCAGATGCCAGAGAGGAATCTCTGGCCGGGACCCAGTGACCGACAGCTGTGGTGGTGCTGGTAGGGCAGCACGCGCACCCCCTACCTGGAGATACAAAATCACACACACATACATATATACTGTATATACATATATACATGATTTTTCTCAGCCTTGGCGCCCTGTAGCAGTAGTTCTGCTATTGGGCGATCAGGAAGCAGTTAACTCTAAATTCCTTTTACTCTAAATATGCTCAATTTGCAAAGCATTAAAATAACACTTTAACACATGGATAAGTACCTTTATTTTTTACATGCGATGGAAATTTTAAAATCTTAGCAACATTTTTTTTTTAAATAAGGATCTCTATACTAGTGTGTGCTTTAGCTGATAATACAGAACAATATGTGATACGCAGCTGCAAAACAAATGTAAATATGATACTTCCAAATTGATGACTAGCATGTTTGTTGACTAACTATTCATGTCTCGCTATAGAATACCTCTTTGACATCTGCACTTTTTTAAACTATGTAAGTGCCAACATTAGCAAATTAGCAGATTTTGTGCAGCATACATTCTGCCTATTCAGGCTGGGATTACACATGTAATTTTTATCTCAGAGATTTTGTAAATCTCCTAGAGAAAAAGTACCTATATTATGGATTTGTAGGAGACTTCTCTGAAATTGTTGAGAGGTCAGTCTAATAAAATTACATTTTTATTTCAAGAAAAACATACCTTGTGATTAAAGCTAAGTGGTTAGCACTTCCAGCTGGCAGTACTAGGGTCATTGGTTTGAATTCCAAACACAGCACCCCACCTGCCTGGAGTTTGCATGTTCTCCCTGTGCCTGCGTTGGTTTCCTCCTGTACTCCGGTTTCCTTCCACACTCCGTGCTGGTAGGTTATTTGGCTCCTGTCTAAATTGGCCCTAGTATGAGTATGTACTGTATGAACATGAGTTAAGAACCTTAGATTGTAAGTTCCTTGAGGGCAGGGACTGATGAATGTACAATATATACTGTATATGTAAAGCACTGTGTAAATTGACAGTGCTATAAGTGCCATAAATAAATAAGTAAATATGTACTGAAGAAGCTGCTGTTTCTGACCTTTACTTCTGAGAATGGTAGTTCTCTGGCTATCATGTTGAACCATGGCTTCCGGTACTTTCTGAATCAATAAATTAAAAAAAACATTTTTTAAGGATCAGGATATCTGACTTCACTCTGGCTTTCCTGACCTGCATGCTTGTTCGAGATCAGTGACTCAGACAGAATTGACACCACTGGATCAGCAAGACACCCAGGCAGTTAGCATTTTCAGAAGATCTGCAAAATAGCTTCTGTATTTCTGACAATATAGGTTTTTTGTACTTTTTCCTGGTGGAGTTAAAGAATTCCAGATAATTTCATGTGAACAACAGTTCTGTTAGGTACCTACATAGTAGGTTGTTCTAAGCAGGGGCGGACTGACCATTTGGAAACTCGGGCACTGCCCGAGGGCCCGGGGTCAGTAGGGGGCCCCATGAGATGCCCCTGGTACCTTTTTCATAGGCTTTTTTGAGTTTGGGCAAGGACACAGGGGCCCCATGATCCCCTATTGCCCGGGGGCCCCATGAGTTGTCAGTCCGCCCCTGGTTCTAAGAGTTCTGTGGAACTTGTTACAGCTCCATGGCAGACTTTGTTTGTCTGACTTATAACAGTATATGTCCCTGCAAGTTATCCCAGACTGGCCTGACGATGTTGATAACAGAGCTTTGTGGGGGCAATATCATCTGTTGCCCCTTACCTTGGTCTATTTACTGCTGATATGCCTTTTGGCTGTGTGTTTGAGGTCATTTTCATCCTGAAGTTGGAAACCATCAGATTCCTCCCTGATAGTATTACACTATGTACAAGAATCTGTAATTTTTTTCTCAACAGTGAGAATGTTATCATTATGACTAAATCAGCAGCCCTATTTGACAAAAAGAGAAACCATAAACCTGCAGAGAGAATTTAAATTGTGCTTCACATTTTTCTTCAGATATTCAATCATGTATTAATCTTTAGCCCGTTGGTGGACAAACTACATTCTGGTATAACCAAATATTTTAATACATGCCTAATCAGTTTAGAACTGCCATTTTCTTTTGTTTTGAAGGTGAGTCATATGGCCATTTTTCCACTGGTGGAATGATTTTTGGGTTTCATATCTTCTATGAAGACCACTTCTCCAAACTATAGATAGGCAACCGGGTTCCCAAAGATTTCTGACATGGGAGCTATGCTGGACATCTTCTGGTATCAATGTCTTGTAAGCTGGATAGATTTCACATCTGATTTATATAGTAGCCATGACCATCCAGTACATTGCTGATCCTCAGCCTTGCTTTTTTTTTTTTTTAACTTTTTTTTCCATAAGAGGTTGGACAACGCATATTGAAATGCCTGTCTGAAGTATCTAAATATGTATGTTTGATACCCATGGGATCCCAGTGGAGTGAATGAACCCAGAAGCAACAAGTATTAAAGTGTTACTAAACCCACAACAGTAAAGTCAGTCTGTATATGCAGTAAAGCATGCTTGTTATACTCACTGTGGAACCTAAGGGGTTAATCCTCTGCAGTGTGTAAAAACGCTGTTTGATCCTGTCTTCTCTGATCCTCCCCTTCTTCCAGTGTCCCCCTCTTATCTCCTGATAAGACATATTGTGTGGAGTCACTCTGTACAAGCTCAGTTTGGTGCATATTGCTAGACAGTTTTTTTTTTTCTTGGAGAGTGCATGTGATCAGCACAGGGCCAATCAGCATTGTCCAGACAGAGGTCAGGGGTTCTGCATTCTCCTAGAGCAAAATGAAAACGCCCCTACAAGCTTTCAAGCAGTGCTCTGCTGGACAATGATAGAAGTCACAAAACTGCTCTGTTGATGAGAAAAGGTATTTGGCAGTTTATATTTACTAAAATAATTGCATTTCCATGTTCTGTGTACTGTGGGAGACCAGATATAGTGAACGCAGGGGCCTGAGTTTAGTATTACTTTATATCCCTTCCAAATTCAGTAATACCAAACTTATAACTACCAATTTTAGTCTCCGTGCTTCAGAAAATATATATAATTTTAAGGTTTAGACTAATATTACATAGTTAGACAGTTAGTCTTGTTGAAAAAAGACACAAGTCCATGTAGTCCAACCAATAAAAAGAAAAAAAAAAATGTATAGAATCCTATATACACAATCTTATACCCACAGTTGATCCAGAGGAAGGAAAAAAACCCAGCAAAGCATGAACCAAGTTGCTCCAGCAGGGGAAAAAAAATCCTTCCTGATCTCCAAAGAGGCAATCGGATATATTATTTGCATTTTAAGATATGTGCAAAAATGTCCATAGCAGCAAAATGATAAGAGTAACTACACTTTTGTTGAGAAAATAACATTGCCCTCTGGGTGATCTTTGTATAGTACATTTCAGGGATTTTAACAAATTTTGTTCCTGCCTTTTGTTATTCTTAAGAAATAGCTGTTCATTTGTCTTTGTCCATGTGCAAAATGTGAACAGGAGTGATTTTATATTAGCTGCTGCTCTTTCAGGGCTCTAATGAGGAAAGCTGCGGGGTCTTTAGACATGATTTCACTTTGGGTGTATCTAACCGAAAATTACCTTTTTGTTGCAGAGGATGCCCAAAAACTGCCTTGAGTCTTAGTGCAATCAGTAAACCAATCACACAAGCAGGAAATTACATTTGCATTTTACAGAAAATTACAGCCCTGTAGATTGAAAAGGAAAGGTAATTTTTCATAAAATTCAAATATGACTTGTGTCGCAATTGTACATACTATACTATTTTTTTATTTGCTAATTTTTTCCCACGAACGTTACTTTACCCTTTAAATCAATCCAGGTATATAACCGCACATGAAGTTCAGAATCTCCAATAATAACTTACATCTTTTCCCTATTTCCCTTCTTCCTTGTGGTGTGTACACATGTCCTCATGTCTTCTATTAACAAATATTTCTGGGTTAAACCAAGAATCACTAAGACAAAGACACATGGAAGTGACAATTAAGAGATTTTTTTTTATTGTCTACAGAAGACCACACCTTCTCAGTGATACAACAGGGAGTGTGACACCACAACCATATTCAGAACATTAACAGGTTTATGTGACAGAAACATAGCCTGTGACAGGAAACCATATCTGCTAGACTTTACCATTGATACGGACACGGGTGGTTCTTGGCATTCAATTATTTCACACCAAACACTTTGGAATCAATCCAAGACATAGAACCATCCATTTCTACACATTGAGGGGCAGCCAACTACCACAGCTCTAATTGGAACATGGGGGGTAAAGTGCAAATACAACAGACAGTGCATACAAATGTACATAGTGCAAAACGTGGTACTGTATAATAGCACAGAACAAAGATGGCTGTTTAATATAAACAAACAAATTCAAACGGTCAGATGCTAAAACACACAAAGCATTTTTAAGATTACTCGCATACACATACTTCACAGAAACCTACAGTAAAAAAAAAAATTAATTGAACACTCAGAAAATTGGACTGTTATTCCAAACACTCACAGTTAAACATTACAGAACACATAAAACCAATTTATTACTGTAAGAGAAGATGTTAATACATTCACATTAGAGCAGACGCTACAGTAGACACAACACAAGGAAACAAGACTTTCAGACTCAGAATGGCCATTGAGCCTAAGATCCTTTGGTGGACTCAACTGTTAAAACATTTCTCTTGTAAATAAAATACTGAACATATTATTTTGATTTGATGGCATGAATCTGATGTTGCCATTTAGGTCCACCCTAGAGGGAGCAATTACAAACATTTCTAATCATTGGAAGCATTTATTATTACCTTAAGAGCTTCCAAATTCTTGGAAATTGGCTTGACATCAGGACCAATCATTCTCTTTTCTCAATGAGAGAACATAAAAGGAATTGGCTGTACACACCTTTTTACCGTTGTTTGAGTAGCATGAGCAACACATAGCAACTATGTCATGCGTCAGAGCTGATCCATATCTCACTGCTCTTTGGCCAAATGGATGTGTTCCTGTTCATCATTCAGGATGCATCCGCCTGTCTATGACCATCTGAACATGTAGATATATTGGAGGAAACAGATCACTGCACACTCATTTGAGTTAATAAATTAATTTATGACAGTTTTATGCTGCATTTTGCCTGCACAACATTGTTTATTTGTTTTATTAATTTATATAGCACCAAAAAATTATGCAGCACATTTTATTTACATACATTATTGACATTCATCTCTGCCCCACACAGACACACACAGTCAATTTAGAAGGAAGGCAATTAACTTAGCTGTATAGTACATTTATTTTCTTTACTAGTAATCTGGATCAACTTCAGTGCAACTGGCCTGCCCATAGATAGATCGAATCTCAGCTGGGCCCTGCTGCTCCGGCAGGGATTTGATCCATCTATGGGCAGCTTTACTCTTAGTCATGCTTCCAAAACTCTTAGCCAAAATCTTAAACTTAAACCTTAAATTAACCGTACCCTAACACTAAAGCCTTGAGTCGGCCACAGATGGTTCGAAGCATGGCCGGTTAAGCAGGGACCGGATGAGATTCGAACCATGTATGGGTAGACTAAATGTACTCAAGTTCATCAATCAATCAATTAACTTGGGTACAACCAGCCTGTTGGATTTTACATGTAATTATAGCTAGTGGCTATTAAAGCTGCTAGCAGTAATCACTGTGTTCACCTGGGGGAAGGGCTGCATGAAAAAAACAAGTCACACACTATGCAATATCACACGTGGGAACACACGTGCCTATGTAAATGTATTTTGAACAACACATTTGGTACTTAATGAATTGATGAGCTGAGTTTATAAAGTATCCTCTTTTCACATTTGTTTTTATCATAGATTTTTATTACCATTTCATGGTCTGGCTGGTGGCATAGCCTTTAGTGTTTTAGAGGTTTTTCGTATACGCCCCTATATCATCTTCTTTATTCTCCTATGTTTCTAGTGTTTTTTGTGGCATTTTGTACCTTGTGTCTAGATAATACATGATGGTGTACATGAGGGTATCCTGGCACATTTAGATCTACCAAGGCACTCCATGGCTAAAGTGGAAGGGGCAATGACTGTCCCCTGATCAAGTGTTCTCTTCACCTTCATAAGGGGAGAATCATGAAAACTCACTTCCCGTATTATTTCCTGCTATACTTTAACTGCTCCTCCATATCTCTCTTTTCCTCTGCCTTCCCAAAAAGTAAATGACCAAAGACTACTAAATAAAAACCTTGGGCGAATATGTAGAAAAGTTTCTCCTTCTTTGAGAACCTCTTAAACATGAACCACACAGAGATAAAATGTGAACCCATTTAATCCCTTGCAGTCCACTTATCATTACTTGCAAATCTCTTGGTGGCTCCTGACCTCTTGGGGCTTGAGAAACACCCATTTTGCCCTTTTAGTAATACAACCCTGCTCAATGCAGTGGTGCAATGGTTATACATGTTCAATTAATGTCAATTTTCATAGGGCTGTATTAATGTAGTTGTATGGAATTTACAACACACAGCACTGTGGGTCTATAAAGTAATCCCTAAATACATAATACGATGCAAATTATCATGCATTTTCTGCCTAGGGGAGATGATTGCCATACACTGAAAGATTAAAAACAGTCCTCTGCTTAAAGCATAGGAGATATTGTTGAGAAAAAAGAATTTAAATGTTCCAAAAATAAACCCAGATGGGCACTAATCCCAAACTGTTAGTGATAGGGAACACGTTCGTTAACACATTAGTTATGGTCAACATCTGCAAGAAATACTCTGTTTCTGGGCTTTGATGTATAGATTGATATTTTATGGAAAATGCATTCATATGAATCACATTTACTCTGTTGCAAGACATTCAGAAAACAGATTACATAATGGTGAATAATCCCCCACAGTGATATTAGGTCATAAATTGGCTCACAGATGGTAGGCTATAATACCAATTACAATGGACAGTAATAATCCAAAAATAGAACATGTAAAATAAGTTAAATTATATTTGGTTCAAGCAGTTAATATGTACTATATTCTCTAAACTATATACATAAAATAAACACGCATCCAGTAATTTTTAAAGCACAACTCTGGGGAAAAATGTTATTTTAAATCCTTCATCAGCTATGTAGGAAATAAGTAATAGGTACACTGTGTGTGCATGCTGCTGTATAGCAGTAAAATCATACAAGCTGGCCGAATTGGATGCCTGGGTGCTGAAGGCATGAGAGCAGAGGCTAATGGCAGAGAAGGGCTCTAGTCACATCACGTCCCCTCTTCACACAATGACCATTCACTAAAAATCTTGTGATTTTTCACAGAATACAAGACATTCTGTGATTGGAAGAGCAGAAATGATGTGCATCTCCACCTCTCTCCTCTTGTTCTCAATCAGATTGCCTTGTATTCTGTGAAGAAACAAATGTTTATCTAAATAGCAATAAAGTGAGGAGAGGGCATGGTGCAACTGAAGCCCGTCACTGCTATTCGCTCCTGCTCTTATGCCCACAGCACCCTGAAATCCAGTGGAGCAGACTTGTAACGAGGTATGATTTTACTACTGTACAGCAGCACATTCTCACAGCGTACCTATCAGGGCTTGTTTTCTCAGAAAATAGGTGCAGGAACTACCCCTTTCCAAGTCACCATCCCTTTGTTTCACCCCCTACCCACCTCTGAGCACCGTCCCTTGGTCTCACCCCCT